TAATTAGGTTTTTATAAAATAAAGGGAAAAATTATATATGCAAAATATCTCAACTAATCGTACACGTTACTTTTCTTGACATGCTGATGTAAAGCATGATTTTTGCCACTTCAGCAGAAGACTCCTGTACTCGCTTAACATTACATGTGAAAATCCTTAATGAAGTAAAATTGAAATATAATAATGTTTAAAACACAGACTCTTTTACTTTTTTGTAGATGGATTAAATACAAATATGAGGTAGTATATCATACTAACTTAATGTGTCATTATTCATTTTCCTTCGCACTTTGTAACACCGCACTTTGGAGTTTAACGCACTTCGGGTCCATTTCTGACCCAAAAGTGCGTTACACAGGTAGGTAGTTTTTAACATCAGACAAACAAACGGCTGCACTTTGGGGTGATAAAAATGTAATAAATAAAAATGAATTTTAAAGATGTTGTAAAGTATTATCTTGTAGTCAAAGTCAATTGATTAACAAAAAGCAAGGAATTGAATAAACGCAACACATTTGCCTTGAATTATAGTAGAATCAATAGGAATTTTAAATGATCTTAATCAGTTAGTGAAGAACTTTCATCAAATAAAGTCTTTGTTACAACTAACAAGCTTAAAATATATTTTTTCTCACATTTTTCACATGTTTTAAAGAATGTTTACGTTTCATTTACTCCATTGTTTTCAGCTAATTGCATCATTTTCCTGCATTTTTATTTACACATTTTATAGAAACATGATAGTCTTTGCATAGACAAAGGTATGAATTCTGGGCAATCTTATAAGACATTTCAGTAAAGAATGTGCCTTATTATATGTTGAGCGGGCCATTTCTTTAGCTTGTCTATATGTGACGTGTAAGAATCTTGACTAGGTGCAGATGCGGGTTTAAACAGTAAAATATTTTTTAAATCCATAGATAAACATTATACGAGTAATTCTCTTGAGAAAGAGAAAGCATAATACATTGAACTAAACAAAAATGCACTACTTGAAATGCTCGTTTTAAACATTATCTGAATTATCCTAATATTTCGTCAATAATTTTTAATATAAAAACATTTTAGAAAGATCATATACTGTAACATACTGCATAGTTCTTGAAATCGATGTAAATAAAAAAATGTCTTTCATAAGTAAACTTGGTATTCAGAATATGATTTTGTGCGGTAAACAATATTAAAAATCAGATACTAATCGTTCCTTACAGTGATGAGAAATCCAATTCACATTCACAAATGACCATATGCCCATGATCCGAGGTGTCCATAAATTTGATCCAAAGTGTCCAAAGTCTGGTTTAAAGATTGAAGTATACCATGTAAAGTATTAGGGAAAGTTGCCTAAGATGCTGTTTTAATCTTTGCAGGAATATTGAGAAAAGAATTTGAAGAACAACGGAATAATTTCACAACTGATATGGAGGTAGGAAGGAAGTTGTTAAAAGAACTTTCAGGTAAGATCAAAGAATATCAGCAATTTTATCAAGTATTTTCTTATTCATAGCTTAATAGTAAAGATGAATGCTACAATAACTTACATTATCATTGTATATTCAAATAAGTAAATATATATACATGTATTAAAACCTATGAATCATATCACGATATGAATGAGAATTAAGCTGTGTTCATTTGCTCTTTTGCTTTATATATAAGTTTCTTTTCGGTAGTTGGAGTTCGAACCCAAACATTCGTTTTTGAACATCTTTTGATTTGAGGTTTATTCAAAACTAGGTGCAGATGCGGCTTTAAACAGTAGTCAGTGTACACAGTACTAAAAAATATCATTTACTATTTAAGTAATCACATATTAACAGCTGAACTTTATCATAATGTTAAGTCCTAACTGGGAATCTGGAGGGAATGGTGGGGTGTCGCCCCCACCGCACTCCAGATTATAAAAAATACATTTTAAAGGTCCATTATGCTTTAAAATGTATTTCTTGAAAGTTTTTTTATGATGATGTACTATAGTATCCAAAAATATACGCATCGGCCAAATACCTGAACCATATTTTTCATATGTTACTTTTTGGCAATAAGTACAGTAATAGGAAATTAGTCAATATGGAAGTCAAATGCTACATTGTTTACATTTTGCTAATTATATGACAAATCATTTCACACTTATCGCTATTTTGTTCAGCTATCAAGCATCTTACATTTCTCTGAAACCATCTTTCAAGTGATTGGTCAAATAAATCATTTTGTTTAGTTCGTCGGTTTGAAAGGGCAACAGAGTAACTGACGATCAGATCGTCATATAAAGCATAAGGGGGCCTGCATTTTAGTCAGATTGAATTGTTCCCTAGTCATAAATATTGTAATTTTCCAATTGTAAGAGGGTGGGTGCAGGGAGATTATAGTTACTGGTGGACACGGGTAAAATAGCGTCTGAACATAATTATGCAACGTATTCTTCTTGACTTTTGTTATAGTTATCACATATCAGCATTTACACAAGTTTATCTGAACATTGGTTTGCGTTACATTGATCTTCTTCATCAGAGGAGAACATCATTCACTAAACGCAGCTGTCAGCAGCATCCAGGCAAACGAGATCGTCGTCAGGCACCAAGTCGGGAAACATACAAATATGAGGGGAAATGAAAACAAGGCTAAATTCATAAAATTTTACCCAAGAGGGATTTATATTTGACGATCAAATGGTGCAATTTTAGCACTGAATAGGCGAAAGCCGTGTTTATTCAATATAGTAAGTAATAAATGACTCGTAATTGTTACGGAAGAATGTCTCTAATTGGAAATGTTGATTTTGTTTATTAAAGCAAAGAAGGAATTTTGAACTAGCACTGAGATTTCTTAAACATTTCTAGATGAAACAGAATCATAATCCATACATATTGATGAAAAAGCTGGGGGTTACCATCCTTCTTTTAAGTAATCTGCCCTTTAAAGTGATTTCTTTTATCTTTCGGTAGATAACTCAAAACTATGCCAAGAAACACCTCCTTTAATTTCTAAATTTGTGTTTGATAGTTCATTTCTTGTTATTATGCAAATTTTGTTAAAATTCTATGCCGCACATATGTTTGCTTAATACAATGCAAATATATTTTCATTGAAACGAGATGTGTAAAATAGAATTTGTGAAAAAATAGACCTGTAGTAATTATATCTTTGATTTTTTCTTGATAGGGAAAACCATACTTCATATCAAAGAAAAATGTATAATTCGTAAAATAAACTCAACGACATAAAATGATTACAACCGTATGTAAATAACTTTTTGTTTGCTTTTTAGATACAACATGTGTTCTGATATACAAAATATTCTCACGCTAAAGAGCTTACAAGAGTTATTTATTTCATTGCTGCTGCTAAATAACTCAGAATGTTTTACCGGACAGCATACAAAGATTAATGAAAGATAACTATCCGAATATCTCCATTTTATTCGTTTCTCTTTGCATGTTCATATCTATACATTAATCAAGAACTTCTATCTGGGAATTTCATTAGTGTTTAAAAAGAGGGTTGTATGTGAAATGATAAACCGCTGGAGTCTTATATTCCTTTTGGTTACAGTTAACATAATACTTAGTGTGTCGTACCTACCTTGCTGATGACACACTTATGATGTTAGATTATATCATTGTATCATGCAAAACCTGTCGTTTTCGCATATTTTTTGTCGAAATCAATGATTTAAACAAGTACAATGTTGATGCTGCACATCACAGACGCCGCCAAATGATGTGAACAGTCACAGTTAATGTACAAAATCAACCTTGAAAATTGTTTTCTATTACAGTTGAATATCCGAAGCATTTATTAATTTTTCTTGATATGTGTTCACAAACTTCTATATGATATTAAATTCAATATATATAGAATGAATTTGAGTTAAATAATTGTATTTTTTTAAACATTTATTGTGTTCCTTATACAAATCATTTCTGTTGCGCTATGATTCCGAATAAGTCTATTTCGCAGGCATGTATAACCTTCCGAAACATTAAAATAATTTTGTTTCCTATTGAATTTCACAACAACTTTCAATGCTGATAGTACAGTTAATACATATAAAATGAGTTTGATAATTGGTATTTATAACAATACATTCTTTCTTTGTTGAAAAACATCTCCGCTGCGCCAAGAATATGTCTATTTTGCGGCCATTTTACCAGTAAAGAATCCTTCAAAACAACCTATCGTAAACATTTGTGATACATTTTAAAACAAACTTTTTTTTGTTACTCAGTTAATCGGTTTTGCTAATTAAATATTAATTAATTTTCTGAATAAATTTACGTTCTGTCTTTTTTTGCAAATATGTTCGTTGTGCCCGTTGCGGCAAAAATATCTTCGTTGCGTATTTTAGTCACATCCCTGGTTTTCTTAACAAATTTGGTTCCCGTCATAAAAGTATAGAATGGCTCATTGGCACTTTATTTATTAGGTAAAAAAAGGATAAAAATGAAAGAGAATGATATTCAAACAAGGGACAATCACTTAAGTCAAACGTTTATTTTATTTCTTTAAAGCTCTGTGGTCTGTTGTACATCAGATAAGCTATTCTTATTGGAGTATCTGAAAACAGTGTAAGTTTGTTTAAACAAAATAAATAAACAAAAGCAAGACTAAAATTTTCCTCATTGCTGAATGAACGAAGGTATATTTAGTAGCCGCCGCGTGCACTTGACTCCTAATGAGTCTCGTAATTCCCAAAATCATAACGCAAAAACATTGTTAAACTAAATTTTCCATATTTCATTCAAATAAATTCAATGGGATGCATATGGATATCAATACAAACCAAACGACAAAAAATATGTCAAAATAAACTTGCTTTTAGAATAATTGTAGTTTTGCTTCAAATCAGATCATGAGAACTTTCAGCATGTAAATCAACATATCAAACTGTTTAACCAGCCCTCTGTTATGAATTCAAGTAGATTGCAAAATAGCAGAAACAGCGGATGCCCTTTAAGAAAATTGATTAACCCTTAGTTCATTTTCAGTTAGCGTCTCCGACAAACAAGGACAAAATGTTGTTCTCTGGATCTTGTGCGTTTTTTCTTTTACTCTTAAAATACCAGTTTAGTGTGTCTATAGCTAGTGAACCAATGTGTTCAAAATTTGCTTATGATGAGCAACTTTTAGAGAAAATGATAAGGCAGGAAATAAAAGTAGAAATGATGCAGAATGATATAAAGAAAACCCAAGAAGCTGTTTCCATAACGCTGGAGGAAATAAAGAAAACTAGTGTAGAGGTGTCCAAAACATTGGAGTCCTTGCAGAACAATGCCACGGAGGTGATAAAAGGAATCATCCGCGACAAAGAAAAAAACGAAGGTAATGTGTTTATCTAATGTTATATATTTTAATTTACTTATTCTTCTACAAACCTTTAAGGGAAATTTATTACAGCTTTATAACATCAACATTTGCTATTGAATTATTCTAAAGACAATTCTTCTAATACTTTGTCAATGAATAACACGGTTCATAGACAAGCTCGAGTCAAGTAAACATTGATATTCTAAAATCAATATACAGCACCGAATTGCCTTAATTTGATTAAAATATTTAACTTAAAAATCATATTTAATTTCCTGGTGCGGTAGAGGATTTTGAGTCCATTCATACATGTACAATTCTTAATGTTCTGCTACTCGTATTACAAATAATCACAATACCACGTGTTCATTTTACTAAACAAACAAATGCACTACTAGCAATGCTCGTTCCATACATAACCTGAAGTATCTTAATGTTTTGTCAATATTATTTAATATTGAAACATTTAGAGTAATACATGTATAATATTGGATTGTTCTTGAAATCGATGTAAATGAAAAAGGGTTTTCCCAAATTAAACTTGGTAATCAGACTATGATGTTGTGGATAATCAATATTGATAATCAGGTACGAATTGTTCCTTACAATGATTAGAAATCAAATTTACATTCATAAATGCCCGTATGATCCCAATGCGTTCCTTACCCTGATCCAAGATGTTCATAAATTTGTTCTGAAATTTCTAAAATCTGGTTTCAAGTTTGAAGTAAACAAAATAAAAATAAAGAGCATATTGACCAACATTTTGTTTTGTTTTTGACAGAAATACTGAGAAAAACATTCGAAGAACAACGGAATAATTTCACAACTGATATGGAAGAAGGAAGGAAAATGTTAAAAGAACTTTCAGGTAAGATAAAAAAATATCAGCACATTAATAAAGTATTTTCCTATTCATAGCTTAATAGTAAAGATGAATGCGACAAATACATTATCATTGTATATTCAAAAAGTAATCATAAATACTTGTATTAAAAACCATAAATCATATCAAGATTTATGAATTAGAATCAAACTGTTTTCATTTGTTCTTTTGCTTTTTTTAAAGTTTTTTTCGTGTTTGAACATATTTTGATTTGACGTTTATTGAAAATATGTTGTCTCTGATTTTATTCCTTTTTTTAAATGCAAATCGTAACATTCGTGGCAGAATAATAAACGATATCTATCGAAATACACTTCAAAATCTTTTCTTAATTTACAGAAAACATGAAAAAGCCTTCCGTTGCATTCTTTGCACACAATGTGCCAGATCTAAAGCTTGACAGAACAGACAAAATCATCATATTTACCACAGCAACGACCAATGAAGGATCAGGATATGACATTTCCACTGGGATCTTCACAGCACCTGTCGGGGGATTGTACCAATTTATTGTTAATTATTGTACATACCTCAAGCAACATTCACCTCTTGGTTTGGTGCTTTCTGGAAACGTGATTGCTCGGTCGTCAAATTACGATGGAGACTACTATACTTGCAGTTCCTTTTCGGCAGTTATAAGAGTGAAATCGTCAGAGAAAGTATGGGTTAAATGTTTGTCTTGTGGTTCCAGTCGTAATTTATTTAAAAATGGTTGGATGATGAACTCCTTCAGCGGAATTCTGATAAACAAATAAAGTATTTATTACCAATATATCCATATCACATAGCAAACTGTTTGAATACAGTACAACTTTACTGAATTGAAAATTTAAAATCTTAAAATTGAGATACATGATAAAGTTCTTTACTCACAACTTATTGCTAACCGAGATATCGTTTGTGTTTCGGACAAGATAGTTCAGCGAGAAGGGTCTGGGATATTTCTTGTAAATCACTGATGGCATTGTTTTGCATTTTCAAAATAAATACAAGGTTAATATATCTTCAATGTATTTAACTTATACGTCATATTACAATGTAGATTTCTATAATTAAATAAATAACATTTATGCAGTTTTCTATGCATTTATGTAAATAACATTTGCTAATTCAAAACAATGGCAATGGAAAAATAATTGTTTGTAATCAATACAATATCTGCAATACTGTTTAATATTCTCATATTTTTCAGTAGTTATGTTTAACACAATAATGCGTGATATAATTGTGAAATTTCATTATACGAGCTCGTATTTTCATTAAATATGATAAGCCGAAATGAATTTATGATCAATTATGTTAGAATAGTGTTTTTCTTGATCAGGGCATACTTTTTGTATAATATATATCGCAATAAATTGTAGAAGCTTTTCTCGCAAACTTTCAATAGTGTTGTTGTTTCTTTGGTTTAGTAGAAAGATAATTAGAATATACAAGATTCGTGTTACTTATTGTTAGTTTTACCTTACAGTTTATGATTAATGTGTCTGAGCTAACAATTGAAACCTAAAGGTCCTTATACCATTATTGGTGTGTGATTTATTTTTCATAGCAAAAATATGACAATCTGTGATAGAAAGTTGGGAAATCATAGATAGTGTACGCCTCAAAAACTTAAAAAAGTAAAGTTAACCTTTGAGACAAATATTATAATTTTTCGCTAGCATTGTTTGTTTTAAGAATAATGAAAGTCTCATGCAAATAGTATTAAAGAAATATTTAATGAATTTTTCAATAGCAAATATGTCTAAAACATAATGCAGAATAATATTTTCTCTAATATAATATGATAATATTTCAGAGTAAGTTAATACTTTCATACAAACTTTAAAGACTTTAAAGAACAGAATACAATAAAATATCAATATAAGCTAAAAATGAATATATCTTTTAAATGTTTTCAGTAAAATACAGTCTCCATAAATCTTTTGATATAATTTATGAGTCAACTGAACTTATAATGAAGTTAGTGTCTGAAATTATAACTTGAAAAATGCTTGCACCGAGTTGTAGCTCGTGTCTTACGTTTTATGATGAAAAATCGTTATATTTAGTGAGATATAAGTCATATTGCACCATTTAAATATAAACGAGATAAATATTTTTGGTTCCCGTTCAACACATTTAAAAATAATGTGAAGAAGAACACAAAACGGATAAAGAGTTTCATGAGTCACGTATAACTTGACATTATTGTCATTTTGCTACAATTTTGATAACTATATAGACAGACAGACAGACAGATAATTTATTTAAGTCTCACTTTTGTACATATATAACATATTAAATACTGTAACAATAAAATAGATAAAATGCAAGTAATGTACAAAACCACTCTAAAAGAGTTATGAGAGACTAAGAGATAATATTGCATACCACATTACCATATAAAATAAACATATTCTCATTCTTGGAAATTAAAACAAACCTTAAACGACTCGTATAAACATTAAATTAAGACATTATTAATAAAATACTTATTTAACATGTCAAACCGTGAAAATAGATATATACATATTAAAACTTATAAACTCATTTTTAAAATATTAAGCAAATATCACATGCAATTGTACAACTTTTTATGTCTTTCTTGTAAAATATTAGAGCAGGCTCTGGCCGTATATTTAACAATATCGGCATTTGACAATAGATAGACAAACTGTTCTGACTCACTATACAATGGAAAATCTTGATTCTGATCAGTGACTTTTCTATATAACTCTTGTCTAATTGTGTCATATAAAGAACAATGGATTAATACATGAATCTCATCTTCTATACATGTGTTGCAGTGAAAACATAGTCTTTGATCAATTGGTAAGCTATTATAGCGGCCAGTCTTTATTTTGAGAGGGGCTACCCCAGTTCTAAATTTCGCCAAAGCACTTCTGTGACTTCTTGATAAAATTTCACTTTTAATATATGTTTCTGTTTTATATTCACTCTTAAATGTTCTGTAGTGTCTTAATTTATTACCTCTATTTTTGCCACTAACTCCCGTATCTGAGTTTATACATTTTTGCCAGTTAGCTTTAAATTCATTAAACAAAAACGATTGTATTTCGTTATTAATTTGTTTTCTTGTTGCAACTGGATAGATTTCATTGGTTTTTAATGTATTCAGCCCTGCGCGCGTTACAAGTTTTTCAAGACTAAAACACCAGTTTTTCATACGGGCTCTTGAACTAAATGACCACTGGAAAATATGGTTGTTAAGTCTACTTTTGTCCATAGCATTTAGCCGGAACCAGTGGCCAATAACTGACTTCCATTGACGTATCTGTGGTGGTATCCAGCCCATATCTCCCATCACCGCTGCATTAGACGACGTGTACTTGCCCACTCCTAGGTAAAATCTGCATGCCCGGTGATGTACAGCGTTAATTGAAGAGAACTCTCTGGTGCCCCATACCGCGGCACCATAACTAATTACGGGCCACACCATACTGTCATAAAGTTTGGTGAACACATTATATGGCATTCCTCCCATCACTTTGAATTTGCTTATTAGTAATCCAAGCGATCGAGTGGCAGCGTCGGCTACATACTTAGCTATTTGTGAGTAGTCCATTGTTTCATTTAACATCAAGCCGAGGTATTTGTATCGGTCAACGTAGTCTATTAAGATATTATTTATTTTGAACGTAAAGTTACTTCTTATTACTGTATTTCTACGGAAATGCACCACCTTTGTTTTATCAATATTCACCGTCATGTTGTTTCGATTACACCACGCCCCCAGGCAGTCTATCATTACTTGAAGTTGCTCTTCGTTTTCGGCTATGAGTGCTAAGTCGTCAGCATAGAGGAGGTGGCAAATAGTTCGTCCATCTATATTTATACCAATGTTCAATTCTTCTAGTTGTTTACTAAGATCATCAATGTAAATGTTAAATGCTGTCGTGGAAAGCAGACACCCTTGCTTCAAGCAAATATCTACTTGGAACCATTCAGTTGTGTAATTATTAATTTTCACCGCACATCGCACATCCTTGTATAAAGATTTGATTGCAAGTAACACGTTACCTTTAACACCGAGTTTCTGCATTTTATGCCAAAGGGTTTGTCTCTCTATCCTGTCATAGGTTTTGCTGAAATCGACAAAGCACACAAAAGTCGACTGTTTATGTTTTTTCCTATATATGTGTTCTTTGTTAGAAAGACTATATAATGCGAAATAAAGATAAAAGGATAATGAGTTGCTTCCAAGTAAATAAAGACTATAATTAGAAGAGTGGAATATGTCTTCTCTCACTTTATTCCAATGAAAATATTAAACCCTATTTCTTAGTTAGATGTAGTTTCACTCATTAGCAACAAATGGATATTCCTTTTAAATTCCGTAATCCGAAAATGCTTTCATGCATTTAAAAATTGTTCGATTTTTTCCATTGGTTGCTCTTAAGCTTTTTTATACATGCAGGTAGATTTATCAAAGATTAATTTCAGGTGGACCCATCAACAGCGTCTTAAATAAAGCAAAATGGAATCGAAAGCGACAATATTACAACAATAATGCTGCTGGCTAGGTTAAACTTTGATTGAGCCTGATCATGGACGTTTAAGTAGCATCTTTACATAAACAACCAGATTATTAATTTTACCAATTTTAACACAAGTCACTATGTCCAGCTGAACATTTAAGTACCTTTGAAATGAACGCTCTTCAAACAGTTGGCTGTATTATTGTGAACCCAAGTTGCATTTTACTATGTTACCACGAGGATAGCATATAACTTTATGTGTTTCATTATACCTAAATCGTTTTCATTGCTCCAGAGTACAACGAACAAAATTTCTAGATTTTTTGACTGTATGTATAGAACAAATTGTTTGCCTTTAAGATACAACACGTGGTCTTCATATAACTACAATTCTACAAAACGTTTTCCACGAGAAAAGGCTAGAATGACCTTCAATAATGACGCTAGAAAAACGTAAATGTTAACAAGAAGAGAACATAACATGATAAATGCATTCAAACTTAAGATTACTACCATCACGGTTTGTACTTTTTGCATGATTATTGGTGCATAAATTTTATTGGAAAAGGAAACTGAAGTGTAAATAAAGACATTTGCCATGTATATGTTCAGCTATATTATATGAAGACATGTATTCGTTTGCGTGACTGTTGCATATATTTTCACGAAATATGATACAATTTCATATATTTTCACAAGACGGAGCGTACTTGTGATCAATTGTGTTGAAATAGTGTTTTTGTTTTCATAAGGTTGATCAGTGCATACTTTAGTATAATATTTACCACAATAAAATGAATAAGCTTTTTTTCGCAAACGTACAATAGTGTTGTTGTTTCTTTAGTTTAGTAGAGAAATACTTAGGATATACAAGATTCATGGTACTTATTGTTAGTTTTATCTTACAGTTTAATGCGAATAATATGTCTGAGCTAAGAAATGAATCCTTAAGGTCCTAATACTATCAATAGGTTGTGATTTACCTTCATAGGAAAATAAATTATATCCGATAGGAGTGGAAAAGTAATGGAAAGTGTTCCCCTCAAAAATGTAAAAAGCGAAGACCAATATTATTAATGCACTCTAGCATTGTTTTTATATAGTAGTGAAAGTTTCAACCACAATAGAATATTGAAAAAGTTCATGAGACAAAGCATTGGAAAGTAAAAAAATAGTTATTTTTTCAAGTGTAATCTATTAATTAGGGTTCTGTAAAATCAAGGGAAATAATTAGGTATTCAAAATATCTCAACTAATCGTAGAAGTTACTTTCCTTGACATGCTCATGGATAGTCTGATCTTTGTCTGTTTTGCAGATTCACTCTTGTACTCGCATAACATTTGTATATAGTACATCTAAAAAAAGTAAAAGTGTCTGTGTTTTAAACATAATAACATTTCATTTTTACTTCATTGTTCATTTTCACATATGTTAACAAATCGTTAAATGCTAATTCAACTTTATTTCTCTCATGTTATAACGATTGTAAATCTAATGTTAAAAGAAATAGTTTATTATCCAGCTAACTTTGAGGATATGAGAAAAACCGTCATCATTAATTAGAATAAAACATATCGTTAAATGCTATCAGTAGAATTCAGTCTTGTTTAACAATCTGTCAGTCTGACCTATTTCACTAAATATGGAGTCAACAAATTTTATTTTTATTTACCTTTTTAAACCATGCAAATTTTTTAGATAACCCTAATATATGTTTTCGAAAATCATACAATTAAATCCCACACCTTGCAATCTACAGTTTCAAATAACGGCGTTCAAGAAAGAAGATCACGTGAGCATAATGGCGGTAAGCGGCCCTTTTTTAATTTTCAGTGAAAATCTATGATTAAAATGGATTTAAAGGGATACTCAGGCAAAATAATGACAAAAATATTAAAATGATCTTGTGTACTCAAATCACGTTAAAATGACATTTCTTAAAGTCCCAACATGAATTTCTGTATTAATTCTATATATTTTGGGTTTGAAGTGTAAATATATCTATGTATGTATAACGAAATCTAGACGCCAATAGAATCACCGAATACTTTT